AGAGAGAGAGAGAGAGAGAGAGAGAGTGTGTGAGGGAGAGAGAGAGAGAGAGAGAGAGAGTGTGTGAGGGAGAGAGACAGTGTTCAGGTTTCATCACTGAACTCAGCAACATAAAAGCAAAATATAACAGAATGAAAGAGAGCTTCAAAGTCAAATGAACAGAATATTAACCAGAGACCAGACCAAACCAGACCAGACCAGACCAAACCAAACCAGACCAAACCAGACCAAACCAGACCAGACCAAACCAGACCAAACCAAACCAAACCAGACCAGACCAGACTAATCCAAACTGAACCAGGCCATATAAGTTCAGAGGCACCAGACCAAATACCCCAAAAATGTAGACCAGAACAAGCTGGTCTACAATATAGAAAGAAATCTCAAACCATACGAGAGCAGACAAAAACAAACTAAACTATCAGAAAAGACACACAAATAAGAGCAGACCGGACCAGAACAATGAAACCAGTCCAGTCCAAACCAGTCTACATCAGAAGTATTACAGGAGGAAACAGTTACGACCAACACTAACAGTCAAAGTAAGAAACATATGCATTCATACTTTAATGTAACCCCCCCTCCTCCTCCTCTTCTCTCTCTCCATCCCTCCAGAGACTACCTGTACTGGGAGCAGGAACCTCCAGGATCCAGCTGTAAGGGAGCTCCCTCCCCCGCTGAGCTGATCTCCCTCCTCGTCTCACCGGCTGCCCCCCCCCCCCCCCCCCCACCCCTCTGATCTCCCAAACCTCACTGCTGTAACCGAACGGATGGATGAGAAGTTTCAGGGTTTTACAGAACAGCTGATGTAAAACTTGTTCACAGTTCTAAAAGGTCTGATTTCAGGGTTGAACTTGAGTTTCCGACTTATTATGAATCAGATTTTAGGGCTCATGTTTGAGTTGAAGAAAAGAAGACATTTTTAACGTAATAAAGAAGAAGATTTAGAGGAAAACAATGTAGGAAGAAATGTTTAAATGTCATCATCTAAATGACCTTTAGAAGTGTTCGGATGAATACAATTCTAATCGATTGCAGTCACATCTTTATATTTCTTAGAGGAGAATCTGTAGAGCTGTAGAGAGATATTTCAGAAAGTTACAAAAACGAAATTATAATCAGCTTAATCTTTTGTTATGAATTTCTTTTGTTTGTTCACTTTTTGAGTTTGTTTTGGTGTCTTTTGATGATGACAACGTTTGAACTGTGCCGATGAAAAGACGAACTGGTCTAAAGCACCAGTAGTGTGAGTGTGAGGAAGCTGTGGTGTTGAACTGACCTGAAACCAGCTGCTTAGTTTACAGCTACCTCTGAGACGGACCCTCCATCTTCCTGTTTTAAGTTCCTCACTGGAGGCTGATTGAACAAAGAAATGTTGGTCTACTGAGTTAAAAATGAAGACGTCATCTTCCTCCGTAGCTACCGAGCTCAGCTGTAAAAGTTGCTGTTAGTCGACAGATTAAAACTGTTGTATTCACGTGTTTCCTTTGATTACCAGCTCCTATCAACAGCTGATCGGTTAAGACCAAACAAGGTAAAATAAGCAGCAGCAAACAGAAATGTGTTTACAATGTTTACTGAGGTAATAAATCAAGAGAGAAGTAGTCATTTTCTCATAGACTTCTATACAACCAGAGGAGTCGCCCCCTGGTGGACACTAGAGAGAATGCAAGTGTAAGTACAGAAGAAGGCATATTGAGACACAGCGTAGAGTCTGTCTTTGGTTTTCCTTTCTTTCCACATCTTCCCTCACAAACCTCTTCCTCTGCTCCTGCAGAGACACAAACACGTCTTCAGCCAGTTGCATGACGTCTAACTGTATCCCAGTCGTCAATGCTGCAGTTTGTGTTATCTGTTAAAACCGAATGCTGCAGCACAAGTAGCACGTAGCCAGTTACTTCCTGACAAACATCACTCGGTCCGTGTCTATGGACGATGTCAGTATTCACTCACAGTTGTAGCCGGTAGAATCAGCGCCATGTTCATCTGTTTCGTGACTCCGTAGATAAACATCACACAACCACAGAGCAAGAAGAAATATGTAGAGGTGGGACAAACCTGCTGCTGAGGTACAGATTGAAGCTTGTAGAAAATGATTGTTAATAAAAGCTACAAATATTAAGACACATTTGTTGAACTTTAAAATACACAAAGGGGCCAATGCAATGTATTTTACTGTATTTAAAGAAGCTAAACTTTAGAACTTAAACTGTGTTATCGCGACTGAAATCAATTCTGAGGACTCAAAGGGAGGAAAGTCATTCAGACACGCTGGTAGACTTTGATTTATTCGAGCGTGACTCATTCACCAGAGCAATGAGAGAATCATTTATTTAGGTTATATTCGGTGGTGTCTGTCGGAAACAACGGTGGAACCAGTATGTTGATGTTGGAGTGCAGGAAGCTGAGGAGCTCATTGGATCAGAAGACGCATTATGGGATGTTTCTAACGACACTGACAAAAGATGCTTTCTTTTTATTTTCGTTTTTATCCTTTGAAGTGTAAAACAATATTACCACACAGTAGAGGAAGTGTTGGTGAAGTGGAGTGTATCTGCTGACAGGACACACAAATGCATTGTGGGAAATAGAAGACAAAGGAAGAGTTGAGACTTTTTTAATGCCAGCTGGCTGAGACTCTACTGGATCTCTACTTTTCAGCTAAAAGCTGTTTCATAACTTTCCAAAGCCTTTTGGAAGTCCCTTTTCCAAATGTAGATGACAAGTCCGACCTGATTTCATCTGAATTTAGAGAACACAACCGTTGTTTCCGCTCAGCCCGTAAGTGACAAAAGATCTCTCCGATCATTTCATGGCCCGTCAAGTTCGCACAATTTTTGTGCACAGATATTGGTGGAAGTGTTCCAACTTTTATGGCTAACAATGACTGCATTAAGGTACCTTATTGTTAGAGAGTCGTGACGCTTGGTCACTGTTAAAACTCAAAATGAACTTCCATGTTGATAAGAACTACGTGAACGCACCGTTAGTTTCCTCCAGAGGGATGAAGTAGTGATGATGCCTCATGAATCCTCATTAAGAGAAGGTGACGTTCACATATTTCTCCACTTCGTCCTTTGACGGATGCTCGGATACCTTTTGGTGACCAACCATCATTCGTAGGCTCTAAAAACCAATCAGCTCGGAAAATCGGTGACGAGTTGAAAGCTCTACCTGCTGCTGTGGCGGTGGATGAAGTCACTGCGCTCTGAATCGTTGGAGATATCACTCACAACGTGACGTAGCTCTTCCTAAGTACGTTCTGAACCAAACCTTCCCCCTCTCTGTGCAGCAGCAGCGTCTACAAGCTGAGGGTTGAACCACAAATGACAAATAATCCAAACGAGACGGGATTTTATCTATGCAACACGACCAAAGTTAGCTCAAAAAGCTGAAGCGGTGTTGTGTAGGCGTTGGATGACTGTTTGTGGGGGCATGTGTTATTAATACTGCTGTGTGTATGTACACCACTACTGTACCATGTAGTCTTTTATTTTATAGAAAACTGGTGATTAGCAGCGACGCTGGGGGTTCTGGGGGATCGGTGTTGAGACAGGTGTGCGTGGGACAAAATAGGGTTTGAAATCTTTCAAATATAATTGTGTGCCTTGCTCTACTGTTACGACTTCTTCTCTTTTTTTTTGTTAATTAAAAGCACCGCTTTCCCAGTTAGGTGATAATACAAAATAAAAAACACGCAACAAAGATCAAAAATGAGAAACAAAATCGGTTTCAAGCTAAGTCGGAGTTGAACTTGTGTATATATGTAAAGGTGTGAAGCCTTGGTGTAAAATGCAGACGGAGGAATGCTTGGTGTTTGTGTTTGTTTAACTCTGTATGTGAACTGTGATGTGGAATATCTTCATTATTACTATTGGCCATAAAGAGCTTGACTGCATGGTTCCTGCTAACTACAATGTAAAACCAAGTGTTGACAAATAAACTTAATTTATTGGGGAAAAAACTAATTTCAGGTTGTTTTTTTTTACTTATTATTGTCAAATGGATTTTACTGTATTTTTGAGGTGTCAGTCCCAAGAAATTTAATTTGATCATAAGCCATGTTTATGTTTTTGAAATGTCGCGATGGGATGTCTGACAGCTCGATGAAGCAGCTGTGGACAGGAGCAGCAGAAACATGTATTTCAGACACCTAACCAGAAACAATGCTGGCTATACTTAGAATATTTATCACGTCCTTACTTCGCTGTCAGTCCGGCCTTTCCTGACGGGGAACTGAAGCCGTTATCTTTGCTCTTTTCAAAGCCACCAGACTCCATTGACAAAAACAAGTACTTTACAAAACAGAGAGGTGGCTGGTCTACCGCTGCCTCCATCCTCCATCATTGTGTGACTTTCTACTCATGTCTGCTTCCTCAAACTCAGCGTGTGCCGACCACCATCTACTGTATGTTAGACCCTGACTATGGTTGACACTGCTGGATTTTTTGATCTTCAGGTTGACCTCTCATCTGGATTTTGTGACGTCGTTGCACGGAAAAGGGTGAAGCAAGTCAAAAAGACGGATAGTAAAGCTCTGGGTAATCGTGCACTAAAATGATAAACTTCTCCTCCACATTTTTACCGTATGACGATATTTAATTTAAAAAAAGAAAAGATATCTGCCAGCTGTGATAGGTTGTTCCTCATCACGTGACCAGCGTGCAAAGTTCCAACAGTTGAACTATCTTTATCTCTGGATTTTTTTAACGTGCCTTCTGCGAGTTCTATTTGACAACAATGGATTTAAAGATGCAAAAAAAAAACAACTAAAAGTCAAAAGTGGCCAGTTGTCAAGTTGTTTATTTGAACGTTTGGACAAAAAATTCCTCAAGAGTGTGCAAAAGTGAAAGAGTGCATTGGGAGCTTTTCTCAAACGACAGCGATCCAATCATCAGAAAAGCATCATTAACATGTTTCTGATCTTCTCCAGATTCATTTCTTGCCCTTAATCACACCTTTGTTTTCCTCAGTCTGCAAAGTTGTAACTGAGGCGCTGGAGCACAATTGAAAGCTGAAGAAAGTGATTGCATCCGACGATAAACACACACTTGTATTACACAGACGTATTACAGGACGTTAGCTAATGTTTACTTCATCAGGAGGAGGTCAGTTTGTGAAACTGGAAACCGCTGCTGGTGGCACAGAGGAGATGGATGATGATGAGGAGGAGGAGGAGGATGGGCGGAGGAAGAGCCTTGATGTGGTGTTCACCTCGGCTGAATGCATTTCTCTCCCTCTCTCACACACTGCAAATCAATTGGTCCCTGATTGCTGAGACTGTCCTTGATGACTTCCTTTAGAGCTGAACTCGGTCCCAATGAAAAGTCTCCTTTCACAACGTGTTTGTGGCCCTGCAGCCTGTGAGGAAATGTTCGTACGGGGCTTCAAATGATTGTTGTTAAAGGAAAACGTCACCCACACAATGATTATATATACCCCCCCCCTCCACATGTTCGCCTGAATTCTTGAAGAGAAGTTTCTCTCCGTGAGCCTCGGCAGCGGACGAAGAAAATCCTTGATGAATTGAAGTGAATGGTAATTCCCAAACATGCATCTCTGATAAAACTTTAGACATTCCACCAAATTATTTTCTATGTTATCCATTTAATCACGAACAAGAAAGGATAAATAATCATTTTTCATGTGTTTTTCCAACAGAAGTCAGCAACACGGGTCAATCTCCGCTCGTTACATGAATACAGTCTTTTCAAATCAACTTTAAGGATTTAAGGATCGGCTACTTTATTATGCAACAACAGGGTTACACAACAAGATGCAGTCTCAGCCCCGACACGAGTAAAACATGACACACAACAAAACAGTAGGACATTCCTGTGCATTTGGGCAATATGGCCGACATCTTCACAAGACATTCTTTCGTATTTCGGCAACAAAACTACTTGGTTAGGTTTCGGAAAAAAAGATCGTCGTTTGGGGAAAAAAAAACTATGAAAGTTGACTTCCTGTTTGACACGGGGAACCTTTCTTTGTTGGATGCTGTGTCAGCTTTACCTCCTCGTTCATGGTTACGTGGACGACGTACAAAATCATTTTGTGGGATATCTGTGAATCTTTTGTGGGTATAGCTACAAACGCTGGACCTTCACCTGAAGGTCAACCTTCATCTTAGATTTCATGTTTCATCAAAGAGAGTTTTTTCACATTATCTGAGCAGAGAACGCACAGCAATAAAAAATAAAGCAAGCAACGCTTATGCCTCTCCTTCAAACACCACGTCAATCACGTCACAAAAACCTCCTTCCGTCATCTCAAAAACATCGCCCGTCTCCGCCCCTCCCTCTCCTCCTCAGCCACTGAAACACTCATCCTCGTCTTCATCACCTCTCGACTGGACGACTGCAACAGCATCCTGTACGGCTCACCCACCAAAATCATCAACAAACTACAAAACATCCAGAACTCAGCTGCCCGTCTGCTCTCCCACTCCCACTCCAGAGACCACATCACCCCAGTCCTTCAGAGCCTCCACTGGCTCCCCATACAGCAGAGAATCCAGTTCAAGGTTCCCCTCATCACATACAAAGCCCTCCACAACCCTGAACCCCCTCATACCTTTAGACCTCCTGCACCGTCACGCTCCCAACCGCAACCTCAGATCCGCCGACGCCAACCTCTCTACCCCCCCTACTCTGTCCAAGCATCGGACCTGGGGGGACAGGGTCTCCTCCATCGATGCCCCCTCCCTCTGGAACTCCCTCCCCCAGCACCTCAGATATTCTCCGTCACTGTGATGCTATAATGTATGTTTTTTTATGATGTCATTATTCTGCTTTGTTAATATTTGAATTGCTTTTATTGATAGTTATTACCACGTAAAGAGCCTCTATACAAATACAATGCATTATTAGTATTATTATTATTGATATAATTAAATGTAAAATAATATAATAATATAATAATAACCATAATAATAAGATTAATAATATGAATATAATAACTGAATGTATTTAGCGCTGTGGACATCTAACAGTGATGCCTGGCTCCAGAGTCCTCTGGCAGGATTAGTTGTGAATGCTCAGTGTGTGTGTGTGTGTGTGTGTGTGTGTCGTAACGCCACGCTGTGACACTTCCTTCTGTCTCTCACAGAGTGTTGGAGGATTAAAGAAGCCAAACACACTCCACATTAGAGCAGATTGCTGCGTGCGCGTGTTGATAGTTGCTCATTGTGGCGTCCCTCTCGGTGGGAGCGTGATGTTGATTGTGGCTGAAGGGGCCTTCAGATGACTGATAAGCGTTGATGAATGAAAATGGAAATGCTTTTCAGCGTATTCTGCCTTCAAAGGGAAATCAAATAGGAGGAAAGGAGAGGGGGGGGGGGGCAGAGGAGGTAGAATATTTGCAATTAACAAGATATGTTCTTTTTTATTTTTTGTGGTCAGAAAAATGGAAATGGCTTTTAAGGTCGTAAAGGTCGAGCGCATCGGAGCATGGTGGCTTTGCAATTACTCTTCAGGCAGCGGCCTGATTGGGGGGAGG